CTTGCCCATGGTCTTAGGTAGAGGAATACCTCGTCGCCCCTTTTGTAGATTCCTTGGTTGCAGTTGACCCCCTTGATCCATTGGGTAATCCTCTGGGGCCGGGCCGGATTTCTTTCCCCCTTAGCTTTCGCTCCGGCTGGTCGTTGTTGGTGCAGGGGCGGCCCCGTGTGGCTGAAGGTGGGATTCCACCGTTTTTTTAGGTGTCCAGGTAGGGGGGGGTGTTTGAGTCTAAATTGGGTTCTCCCGCTTTCTCCTACACCCACCCTATGATTTTTCCTCGCTCGTCTTCCTTGTCCGCGAAGACCCACCCTTCATGCCCTGGGTCTACGGTGCGCTAATGCGTGCTCCTAAAGGGGTCTTGAATCAGTCGCCCCGTGACCCTAACTTGGTTGATCTGATGATGGGAGCACGCCGGGTCAGTATATAGATGTCTGTAGGCTTGGCATTTAAAACACCAAGGCCGCAATTTGTGAGTCGTGTGCACCTTATAATCCTTGTCCCCGACCCGGAAAGGGATTATATCATCTATAGAGAATGGTTGCCCTCCGGGAGGTCGATGGCCAACATCAGATAGTCATCTCTTCTTGCTACATGGGGGGCCAGAGGGTCGATAAAGTCAATGACATCAAATTTCTCTCCGAAGTCCTGGACAAACGCTGCTTGGATTTCGATTGGGATATGCCAAAACTCTACCCAAAAGTTTTCTGCCATCATCTTTTCCCTTTTCTCTTCTGGACGCTGCTGTTTCGGAGGCACCCAAGGGTAGAGTCGCACTTCAGACCTATCGCAGCGAATCGAACGTCATCTATCCATGGTCTATTTGTCCGCTTCATGTCTGCAAATAACAGTGACGGTGAACATTGAGATAGGCTGGAGCAAAAAGAGGTCTTGTGCTTCTTCCATACTCCCTTTGAGGGAGGCCAACCTCTTCCGCATCCATGTCACCTTGTCATTTGTAGAATTGAAGGTTGCGTCATCATGGAATACCCAATTGCTAGCGTTTTTGGTATACAAGTCATTCCTAATCTTGACCATGTCCGTGGGTAAAGTTTTAACCACCGCGGACTTTCCATTCAGGTTGATTACCTTAGGCTCCGACGGGGAGGAGTTTGGTCATAAAGAAGGCACCAGCGGACGAGAAGCTCCCCAGGGGGATCTTCCACTCCCTCCCTTCCCCTTCCTCCGTTTTCCTATGAACCGTGATTGACTGGCCCGCATGTGGTTTCTTCAAGCGGGCGGCCAAGGAAGGGGTGGATGAAATGCTAGTCGTGGGAAGGGGGGGGGGGACTGGGTGACATCGGTTTCCCTAGTTTGCTGCGTGTCAGAGGTAGTCAATCTTCCCCCAGAAGTTTCCTTTAATGTCTTCCTCTCCTTTGCAGCCAATTTTTTGTCTTCGTGCTGCCGTATGGCGCCCCTATATAACAGAGTGGAGTCCAATCTTTTGTGCGCCCTTTGGGCCTAATGTCCTGATTTAGTGCCTTTGCCGAGTGCCATGCCGTCTGGACGCTATTATGCCTACCAACAATATTCCTGCCATTCGACAGATTCCCCTTGCCAACCCTGCAAATCCCTTTGAATCTCTCACACCCCGTAAGAATGCACCCTTGTCCTTCTAAAATCTTGATGTGCCCTCCCACTGATCTTGCCACGTGAGCATCTACTTACTAACTCCTTCCACCAGTGTTCAACTCCGGTGCCTATGTCCTATTTACCAATCACTCGTACACCTCAGAGTAGAGGGGCATGATTCCGGGTAGCCCAACGAAACATGCAGCCGAGAGGGGCGCAACCAGGGGGAATAAATCAGAAGGGAAGGATTCCCATGACCCCTTTTTTCCACAGTGGTAAGATAAGACCTACACAGTGGTTAGGTAAGACCGGCCGGGGTCATTTAATCCGGATGAGAAGGGGAGAGATGTCGAGGAGCGGGGAAAAGGGAAGATGTCGAGGAGAGAGGGGAAGGGGTATGGCGGGAAGAGGAAACTCCGAGGAGGCTTTCGAGTTGGATCGGGAGGGGAGCATGCAAGAGCGGAAGAGCGGGTAGGGAAGAAAGGGGACAAGCAGGAAGAGGGAAGAGATGTCGAAGAAAGAGGGAAGATATCGAAGAGAGGGGAAGAGGTGGCGGAAGGGGAGAGAGGGGGAGAAGACAACGAGGAGAGAGGGAAGGGGGTGGCGGAAGAGAAGCGAGAATGAGGGAGAACCGGGGGGAGTCAGTATGGCGAGAAAAGGAAACTCCGAGGCGGCTTTCTGGTTGGATCGGGAGGGGAGCATGCAAGAGCGGAAGAGTGGGTAGAGAAGAAAGGGGACAAGCAACCGGGTTAGAGTGGGCGAGGCGCCGGACAGGAGGGGAGAGGTGTCTGAGAAAGAGGGGAGAGGTAGGTGTTGAAGAGAGGGGAAGGAGTGGCGGAAAGGGAGAGGGGAAAGAGGCGAAAGGATAGAAGGGAGCGGGGAAAGGGGCAAAAGGATAGAAGGGGAGAGACCAAGCGGGATCGGGAACGAGGAGTCAGCACGACGATGGCCGAGTTAGGTTGGAAGGAAACAATGGCGCATCAAGGGGAAGGGTGGAGAGACAAGAACGGGTAGGGAAGAAGCGACTGGGTTGGAGTAGCCAAGGCGCCGGAAAGAAAGGGAGGGATGTTCGAGAAGAGGGGGAAAGGCAGATATCGAAGAGAGGGGAAGAGGTGGCGGAGGGGAAGAGGGGGGAAGGAGACAAGGGGAGAAGAGGGTGGAAGAAGGTACCAAGTAGGGTTGGTCAGTAAATAGAGCTGGGTGAGTAGAAGGAAGCCAAATGAGAAACACAGGCGAAAAACATTTCGAAATACCTAGGCAAAATCCGCTTACAGGAGACTGTAGTTTTCTGTGAGATAGTTCACGTCACCATGGAGACGCGTGAAAACCAGTCCGGCGTGAGCCACCTCCCCCACCGCGCCGAATACCCAGTGCGGGGACCCACGGAGATAGATAAGTTATGGCTGACTGAAGATGACGTCTCGCCTTACGCCAGCCTGTCGGAGCTCCGTTGGTACCAACTCCCAATCCAGCGAAGCAAACTCCCGCTACTCGTGGTGTGTGAACCTTTAGCGGATCATCACCATATCTTGGAAACAACCATCCTTTTGTCCCAAACGCGGCGTCCCGTACTTCTCGGATCAATCGGAGCGACCATTTGCCTCCTCTGCCACCACCACCACTATGCTGCTGCGACGTCCAACCTTCCTTACGATCCTATCAAACCACCCAACTTCCTTCCATCCTCCCGAGGTATGGTCGTGTCACCCCCTCCGCGACGTTGAGACACTTCGCTTTGACCTGCCTTGACGGTTGTTCGCGAGATGCACAGCGTAAGCTTGCTACGCCGGGTGCGCTAAGCGGTACCCCCTCCGATCGTCAATCTCACTCCGCTCGGCCCAACTTACCTTGCTGAGTACAAATGAGGTTTCTGAGTTTCCTTTCCAAAGCAATCGGGTTAGTAATCTTCATATATTTGCAGTTGAGGTAGGGGGGAGAGCTCAGATGGATAAATTATACCAGATTTTGGAAGAGATAAAGGAGTTTATGACCAGGGCTCTACCGAATAGGGAGAGGAAGTGGGTTTTGGACCATGTGGAGCATGCGGCCCTAATCTTGTTTTCGATGATGGAAGCTTCAATGGTCGAGGGATCTGAGAAGGAGACTTGAATGCCTAGATACCGTTCGGTATCAGATTGTGTTTTGACTGGGATACCCATATCCAAAGTCGGGGGTTGTCCGTGAGGAGTCAAGGCTACCGATTTCTGCCAACTGACCCTCATCTCAAAGGCAGCCTCATATGTGGAGATACATTGCTCTAGAGCCGTAAGGGAGGATATTGAATTTTTAGAAATCGCAGAAAAAGTCATCGGCAAGAGCTGATACTTTGATAGAGTGGGTGAGGGAAAGTTGTAGTCCATTGAAATCAGGATGGGATCTTACCATGTTTAGGAGGATCTCTAGTTGAATTACAAATGAAGAGGGCGCTAGGGGCCAGCCTTGTCGTAGCGAGCAGGTGATTTTGAAGGTCGAGGAGGGGTGACCATTGACTAGGACTCTACCACTGGATGATGCATATAGTGCTCTGACTAATTTTCTGAAGTTTTGGCCAATACCAATCGTTCGACACTCCTCGGGGACGCGATTCCGAGGATTCCGTCGTCGTTCCACCTGTCCTCGGAGCCGATTTTCGGAACAGAAATGTGAAAACACTCCGAGGACAAATCCTTGGGCTCCGACGTTTCCCAGCCAAATCGTCCTCGGCTCCAAGGGACCTCGCAAGGTCCTTTGGAGCCCGAGGATCCGCGATTACCGGGGTGTCGGCGACGAGTCCCGAAGGGAAAATGGAGGTCGAAGGTGGTCCAGTGGTGGTCCACCGGCCGAAAGACGGACATCGAGGGCCGTCCTCATCCAAAGCGTCCACCAACGGCCTCGTCGTTTCACCGTTGGCGGTGATTGGCGGTACGGCCCTGTCGGTTCGTCGGGCGGGCCCACGGTGGTGTTGTGGCGAGCATCAGACATCTTCGGTCGGCTCTTGGAGGGGTCCTGGCGTTCCCGCGGGCTTCCCAACGGTCGAAAATACGGATTTTGTAAGCGTCCTCCCCCAGCCGGTGCTTGCAGCAATTTCGTACGTTGGCGTCTTCCCTCTTGCAACATGTGTCTTCGGTCGCCACGATTGCGGCAGCGCAAGTGCGTCTTCTGTCTCGGCTGCTCTGTTGTTCATGGCTGACCTGTACCGCAGGCTGCCTTTGCTGCTGCTCGTCGCTGTGCTGCTGCTTGTCGTTGTCGTCTTTCATATCTGCTTCCTCGGTCGCGTCCTTGGGAGGAAATAGACGCGGCAAACGCCGAAGAGGGGCAGGAAGATGGAGAAGCTACAGGCGAAGACCACGCTGTCCGTACGGGCTGGGGGGTCGTCACGTCAGCGTTGCAGCAGTGCGGAAGGCGGCAGGCGGCCGTACGACCCAACGTTGTATAGCCACCTGCCGTCCCACGAGATTCCGTTGTCTCCGAGTGACGACGAGGGCGACGACCCCCGATCCTCAACGGTTCCTCTGCTTCGTGTCGAACCTTTCCTCGTCTGGGTGCTGATTGATTCCTCCGTATGGCACCACTACCCATTCAGAAGGAGGATACCCGTTATCGCCCCCGTTCGTCCTCACCCCTCCCGGTAGCGTGATAGGCGGCCCACAAAACAACATTTCCTCCTCCGCGCGCCTCGACAGACTTGACAGTTGGATCACCCTAATGTCGTGGCAGCTCCCCGGATATCCAACGAACACGTCAAGCACGAGCAGATCCAGGTTCACCACCACCTGCGCAATGACGGAGAAACGGTGCTTGCAGTCGAAGTAGTTCTCGCTCGACGTGTTCGCCGGTTTGTCCACGTAGATGTGTGTGCAGTCAACTGCGCCATGGCAGTTGGGAAAGCACTTGTCCAGAAACGCTCGTAGCACGACGTGTTTCCGCACCCCCGTTGGCCACCATATCTTGTCCCCGTACACCCTCAACATAGCGGTTGTCGCATCGCGCACAGCTCGAACTCTGAAAGCCCTGCCTATGTCGCAGGATGATGTGTTGTTGTCGTATGGCTCTCCTGTAGCCCACTTGTATAGCGCGTACGTGACGATCTGCTCCGACTGAAGTGGCTCCCTGTAAAAGATCACCTGTCGTTGCAAATGAGCCGCACAGGCTTCCGTGAGCTCCATGAACACTCTCCTGAACATGCGGAGCTTTTCCCGGAAGTAGTCGTCTGTCGCGTCATCGCACACCCGCAAATCCTCCCAAGTCCCGCCAACTCTCCGCCTCATCCACCAACGTGGCATCGCCCGAGGAAGCACACCACACCCGATTGCAGCGCACAGCTGAACCACGGCCTCCGAAGTGGTAATGCAGTCCGGGGCGTCCAACACCCTCTGCAGCAGAAGCCTCTGCCGCCGCCTAAAAAGCGTTGCCTTCATGCGCCCGGCCGCCCTCTCTACTTGGAATCGACGGACAACAGCAACCCCAACCGCCCCGACAACTGTTTTCTCCGTCCTCGACAGCATAGCACGGCCATCCCCATCGCAGCCCTTCCAACACGAAAAACAACGTCCACCGCCACCCAGTTGCGTCTACGTCTGCCACCACGATTGAAGACGCCTGCAATCAGGTCAAGAAGACAACCGTGCTCAGCGATATTCCACCCCGATTGGAGCGTCTGCCCACCGCCGCTGAAGTATGGAACCGCCGCCTCCACGTGGCGAGCGCAACTGCCGATACCCCTCTTCGTTTCTCTGCGTCGACCACACTTGAGACAGTGGCGTTGCTGCGCCGCTGAAGTACGCAACACGATGGCAACCGAAACCCTGCGAGGCGTGCACTGCCCCCCTCGCCGACCCGCCTGTGCACCGCCACACCGTCACTCCGCAAGATGCAAATTCGAATTTCAAATTTCGAACGGGGCCGTTCCCGCGTTGGCGATTTTCTTTTCCAGGGCCCGTGACGTATTGCCGCCGTCCGCCTACTGGACCACCACGCCTCCTACACGGACATCCCGAATCGGAGGTCGGACAGTCCCCTCATGGCCGTGTATAATCTCATGAAACTGGCCACGGGAGGGCCCCGAGGATTCGTCCTCGGGGCGACTCTCCGAGGACAGGTGGAACGACACCTCCAAAAAAAAAAAAAAAACTCCGCGGATTCGTCCTCGGAGCCTGAGGACGCACTAAGGAGTGTCGAACGACGCCCTTATTGAGGTTGTGAAGATTTGTCCAGTCAATAGATTGGGAAATAGCCATTACATTATCTACAACTTGCCTGCCTGGTACGCAACCGGACTGGTTTGGATGTACCATTTTGTGGAGGAGCGGATTGAGTCGAAGGGAGAGGGTTTTAGGAAGAATTTTCCATGGACGTTCAGGAGGGAAATAGGGCGGTAGTTCCT